ATGGAAAGTACACAAACACACTTTGAAAATTTATCCTAAGCCTCAGCAAAAAGAAAGCACTTAAAAAAAAATTTAATTGACAAAGTAGTATGTTAATAATCTTGATTGGTAACTTTAAATATGTACAGCTAATTAAAATAAGCAAATGTAAATAGTGGTGACTTCCAAATAAGTGTACTTATTTCATAGTCTTTGTACATTTGTACGAGACATTTTACTTGACAGTATGCCTGTCGATTATGGCTAACGTTTGGCCAGGGATGGGAGGGGAATGCGGGTGGCTATTCACATTGACCCCCCGATGGCATGTGATGGAAAGACTTCACGCTCATCTGACATTGACTTCCATTAGACAAAACCCGTTTCCCTCCCCCCCCCCGGCAAACACTGATAATTAATTATTTGTCAACAAAGAGCAATGAAAAGTGACTCCCTTTCCAACCCTATCCTGTCACCGCAGCAGTGTGACTTAGGCCCAATAATTGTGTCGTCAAAATAAGAGAATGCAACGTAGGTATATATTTTTTTCCAATCGATCGCTTGCAATGCCGTGGAAATCCTTCAGCTGGTTGTTAGAAATCGTAATCCATGACACACGTGTTGAGCGAGCGGATGTTTTCTCATGGTTTATTTAGCAACTGATGACTGAGCTATCAACTTGTCAAGAAAAACAACCCCTGGCGATCAGTTTATCACCGTCGATATATAACAGTGCTATAACTCAACACATACCAAGCTAAATAATAAGTTTAGACTCTGCACAACAATGGCCTGTACTGGGGAGAATGCTATCCTTACGCAAGACAATGTGCATGTCCCGACAGGTAATGAACGGAAACTCAACCCCATAGCACACTAAATATCACCCTTTTTGTTTGCAATGCTTTTCTGCTCTAAACAAGTTCTGTTTTATTCATGTCTTCGGCATGTAAACAGAACACTTGTACGTACATAAACAATTACACGTGCCATTGTGATGTCGAGGTCAAAACATGTCCCTGCACTCAATAATTAATTATATGTTGTCAAACACCAGCTGACAAGACGACTACAAAGATGCATCAGCTGGGGCTATCTATAAAAACACAGACATGAACCGTGAAACAGGTCAAAGTGGAAGCACCACAAATCTACAGCCATGAATTACTGATGAAGGTACAAATACCTAACCCACATGGAAAAAAAAAACTCACTAAAATACCCAAACCATCTAAAATGTTACCTGTAAAGCACCTGTACACCATTGTATGAGATACAGTTCAAAGAGACACATACCACATGGTTATAGTACATCCGGCCTAGTGACTCAGCGATCGAGAAAATGAAAAGCAGCGAACAAATGAAAGGTTGTGCGTTAATATCCTTGGTTTGGGGGTTGGTTAACACGGCCAATTATATTATCCATCCAGGGGCGAATACAACGTCATAAATACTGCCTTGCAGAGAAGTCAACAAGTAGCTGTCCTATGGATAATCTCAAACATTAAATAGCATCGTAGAATTTCCACTGCTGGCGTATGCCTGTAAACTCGGCATGACGCACCACCTCAATGTATCATGGGGGAAACGATGACTTGGCATCCAGCTCCCAGCATGCAGCAGGTACAACTGTGTGGTTGTGACAATATTTATACACGGACAAACGGTAACGTTCTCAATGATTAAACAAACAAAAACATTATATTCGAACGTATTTGTAGAATTTCCAGGATTTAAGAGAGAAGGCTTCATATAACAACTCTAAACGTGATGTATTCTGGGCAAATGCATGACAATCAATTTGTCGTCACTCTCAGAGCAATACTACCGACCTCTAAAATGTTCACATACGTACTGTACTTAAAAAGTATAAAACGTTGTACTTAGCAGCCAAAGTGAAAGCACACAGAGCACTGATCTGGCTATTCAGGGGCTATGGTCGGAACATCAATACAGGACGCTACCGCGTGTACCATTATGCTGGCAGCTATGTATTACTGATCAAACAGTGACGCATGCGGTGAAAATGCCTCCGTATACATTTTGAACACTCATGTGCACAAAAAAAACCCGGATGTTTCTATCAGTCCAAAAGCGGGGATTTTATATATATACATAGAGCATACTGTGAAACACTTTTAGAGAACTTAATTTATGCATATGGTGAAGCGATACAAAGAGACGGGAAAACTGAAGGACCATATTCAGACATGATATACAATTTTAAAGGCATATTTTCTTCAACAGAGCAACTCTACGACTGAAGTCAAGGTTATGTGTCATCACGGTTGGATTTTTTTTGCTGGTTACTCACCTATCGAATCAGGGAGAACATCAAATTATCACTTAAACAAAAACCAAAAATGTTCCCGTCTATAATTTCCTCCAAAAACATATTTTTAACTCCAAGATAATTACTTCATTTACTGCAAGCTCTCAAAAGACCCACCTGGCTCCACACAATATGATAATGTAATTTATGCTTACCAAGGGCTATTATTATTATAATTTCAAATTGTATTATTCTCATTCACTATGTAACATAAAATAAACACAGCTCATTACATTTACCTCAGTCGATGTACCCGGCATATTGAATGCGTACATGTTAATACGTTCAGCTGAAACATAGCGCTATGGGTTGAAAAACCACCCACAGCCCCGTGAAAGAATTCTCGTAGCATTGCCATCTGTTACGCTGAACCAATCTAACTGCAGTTTGTGAATTAGAACCAACTGCCAACAACAATGGCGTTTGGCAAAACGCTTGGATACGACACCCTCAGCAATTGCGCGCGTCTCCCCTGGTGCGTCCAGAAGCCTTCGTGTGGCATTATCTTGGCTGCTAGTGCGGCAAAAAAGAAGGCGACAGCGAGGCAGAATCGACGCCACCACTGTGCACAACGATGGCCGCTGGGGCCCTGTGGGAGGCTTCTTCACCTGTCAGGTCGAGCAACTCGCAGCATCAGTCCCTCTCCCCCAGTGCCTTCAGCATAACTCAGCTCCAGCGCTACTCTTTCAATCTCCATTATATGAGGCGAACACACGCGCACGTTACTGAAATCAATGCAGCCAAGTCGCATTTGACTAAGCCAGGGTCGTTTCCAAATTCATCAAGTCAAGTTATATTTTAATGATGGGTTCCCCCCCCCCCCCTCTATCAAGAGAGCTACGGGTAATAAGAAATATTGTTTAAGAGCAGTGCTTTTTCTCTCGTGTCCTTTTTTTCTTTGAACAGAGTTGTGGGTTATTTCCATATTTTTATTTTTCAGCTGTGACAAATTATTTCGTGGAATGTGTAATGTCCACTTTGTTCATTAAAAAATGATTTGGTAGATCCTTGCAGACATTCTAAAGCGCTGGCTGTAATTTAAGCGTTAACTCTACGTGAAGTGAATATGTGTGTGCTGTGTGATGAGGTAAGTTATTCAAGCCACCCAGAGTGACGATGTCTTGGCAAGTCATTCTCAAGGTCTTGGAGCAATTCCTCTATAATGCATGACATAATCATAGTTACAAAGCAAAAATGGTCCTCTTGCAGGTGCACAGAAACAACCGAGCACTCGGGATTTTTTTTTTGTTCAAAATTGGCATCTGCTGTTCCAATGACCTTCAACGAAGAGCCTTCCCCCAGTGGTGAATTTTTGGTTCGAGCAGTGAGGTGTAAAACGACCACTGCAAGCAGCTTCCGTGCAAATGTCGATATACAAGCATTACCCCTTGAACAGCTGGTCTTCACTGACCCAGCAGGCTTTCTTAAAGTCTCAGGACAGTCTCAGGACACCACAAACCCAAACCATTTGCATTTGAGGTAAAGAAACTTGTTTTCCAGTCGCACAGCAGGGGAAAGCATTTGCGGCGAGGTGCGGAACAGACAGGTATGTGCAATCACAATACTGCTCCCAACAGAACAGGTTTTAAGAATACATAAATCCCCGCATTACAAACTGGAATCGTGAGAATAATAACGGCTCGTGGCATGGATATGATACTTCTTGCTGTGCGTTTGAAGGCTGTATGAAACAGCGAAGAAAATGTACTTGGTGGTAAGAGTTGGCATACCAATCGGTTTCATGATATCCAACTGACATATGACAGTGGCCCCCAACTGGCAATCTGGGTAATTCAGCAGTGCAATTTATGCTGGAAAAATCTCACCGTAGGTAGTAAACAATGAAGGTTATTCCATAAATCCCACATTCAACAACGGAGGTGGAATTGCATTTCAAGTCATGTTGCTTACCCGAAACTTTTTAAATCAGATCACTTAAAATAAATAAACTTGTACAAATGTCAATCGGACACCAAAACAAATGGAAGAAATGAGTTATACATTATTCTGTGCATACTTCAAGTAGCCATCAAATTTTTTTAATGTTTGGACTTTATCATTCGTAGTTTGATCATTGCTCTTTAAAGCACCCCCAAGAAAATGTGAAAACCCACAATGTACAACAGTGTGCAATGTATAGCGTGAACATAATTTAAATAACACCTCACAGAAGAAACAAGCATCAATGAATGGGTCATCAAGTTGATACTTTCCGAAATCCTGAGGGTGCCCTTCCGTTTTGCATCCTAAATTATACAGATTTCACATGATGCGCTCGGTTTGTTTTCCATTATTGAATCATTTTTTCATTCCTCCCCATTTCGTGACTTGTTCCATAGATGATGAAAAAAAACGTTAAAGTTTGACAAAAGATGCGAGAGGAAGGGGAGAAAACCTCACAATATACGAGAGACAAGCCAGGTGGAGCCCCGTGCATGCCAGCTGTCCGTGCTGACATATTCCATCTATGCTATAATTACAAACAAATCAATTCAAGATTTTTCTGTGAAACATACAATCAGCTGTATTTGTCACCATCACCAGCCAGGAAATAAAATCACTTTGTTGAACACCCACAATGAGGAATACCAAAACTGAGCTTTTGTTATCCACGATGCCGACGGTGTGGAGGTCGACTCAATTTATTTTCACGGCTACCGAAGCGAACGCGCGTTGGGGGTTGCCTTACCCCAGACAGGTCAGCCACTCGGTGAATCGGAATCTCCTTCTTGCTGTGCAGCCCCTTGGCATTTTTGATTGCCCTGTGAATGAAATGGCAGCAGAAGGCATGAGGAAGTTGCCTGCCACGCCACCCTTCTCAGCAAACGCGTTCACCTGTGCGTTATACAAGACACAGACAGCGTGCAAAGGCTGCAATCACAGAATGCTTGCGAGGTTGCAGCCTTATTTTTCTGTGAGAAGCATATGCAATTTACCACTGCTGTTGCAATGACATTGAAGATTTAGTGATGCTTGAAACATTCAGCCATGTCCACGTGTATTCATTGTAAGAATATTTTCTGATTATTAAAAACCTGCATTACCTTTCACATTGTTTATTTTAATATATATATAATAACAAAAACCAAGGCCACATGCATTCAGAACATGCTTAGATGGTTAGTTTATATGCATATGCAAATATTAATCATGAATAACTGCAGACACAGTATTTACAATTCAAATTCATCACAGATAATATACTACATTGTGAAAATACTGTACTTTTACTGATGTAATTCCACAAAAGTATTTGCCTGAGATTCTATTCCATTGCCAACACAGATCCTTAAATGTATGAAATCTATTTGTATATACAGAACACGCATACTTTAGAAGAAATTCACATAGCACAATGTTGTGTATAAAGCCCTTTATCAATCCACTGCCAGAGGAGGGCCTATCCATGGCAGAGCCATTCTGGAATACGTATCCGTTATTTAATCAGCTTTTTTCCATACGTGCCCCCATCAAGCACACTCCAAAAGATCTTCGTTTGATATATGACATCTGCAATTATTCGCTAAATCTTGCACGTGGTAATTATTTCTATTCAACTCTATAAAACACACTCTTCCAAGCATCTGGCCAGCTTGGAAGAGTAGGTTAAACACCCTTCGCCAACACACAAGCATTTCGGATTTAAGATCAGTTATGCTCACAAGTGTTAAGGTGACTTTTGCCTTTTATAAAATCACCGAAATTATAGCACGACGTACAACAAAAAAATGTCTTTGACAATCATATAAATAATTATTATTTTACCAAAACAAAAACCACGACCTCTTGAATGAATGGTGCCATAAAATTATACCCTACTGAAATTGCATCCTTAAAATAAATCAAGTGCAAAAAAACTTGCCAGAGCAGGAAGACCATGGAAGGCAAATAGATAGGCACCATTTGGAAAGGACGCGTTTTGAAATTTACGCTGTACAAAGCCTGTCCTTTAGATTTCCACGGCTGTCGCATTACTGACAAACGTGTATTTGTTGTTATTCCCCGTCAAGGTCAAAATTCTGATGCAATTTTTCTTCGCCTGGCCATATGTGCCCCCATCAAGCACACTCCCAAAGCCCTTCGTGATTAAACGCACACATTATCGTTTTCACAAACGCAGGCATTTACCTCTCACGCATGCGTTGCCCTGACAACAAAAAACGCGTGAAGATGTGTGAAATGTACGTAATAAAATTATTTATAATTGACAAAAACTGGCAGCATAAAATTTGAGCAGCAATAGCATCCAACGTGGTTAAATGGTGTCAAGGGTGCAAGAGTTAAATACATTTGAAAATAACTCAAATTATGGGTTAAATAAAAAGCTATTTTATCTACTTTCCTCCCATGCAGACATGATTGTTTGCATTAAGTGCTTTTAGACTGGACCCATTATCAACTTAACCTTAGCAGCCAAATTAATCTTATCTAAGAATAACACAGATGGCTACAAAAAGGTAAAAGCAGATATATAATTCATGTTTATATTAGAGACTAAGTTAAGGAAGTGATCAAAATTGACACTCGTGCTTAAGATATTACCTGAAACATTATTTGAACTAAAAGCACATTTAACTGTATCTGAAGTATTTAAAAAACATCAATAATCCATTCATGGGCATTAAAAGAAACCACAAGCGGTAAGGGTAGGAAATAATTACTCCACTTCGCACCAACTTCAATAAAAAAAATACGCATCAAAATAAATTTCGGCTATATCGCACCACATTTGAAAGAAATAACACAATTGTCTAAAGTATCAAAACATTTCCTTTGCATCATGCTCTGGCACTGTAGACGGTGAAAAGGTATTGGATGCCAGAAATAGGGTGTACAACATAATTTGATCTCAACATTGCTTCTTCGTGTCTAAAATTTTAAAGATTACATAGATATAAAAAAAAAATCACCACATTTGGAGCCAAACGGGGTCATTATTCTTGAAAATACCTTGTGAAATGTAGCATGTATAAATATATGGTTAAGAAGCAAACACACGGCGACAGCAAACGTGATATGCTGGACATCAGAATGTACGTTTTTCTCAGCTGTTTTTCATTGTTAATAATGTATTAATATATCCAATAGTAACAGCTGGGCCCACTTTTTTGATGATGCTCAGGCTTTATTACATTTGGTCCGGGAGCTCTTTCTTCATACTGTAAAGGGCACAGTGGTGGTTACATTTTCAAGAGTGGCATCTCGACCATCACCCTCCTCGCTTTATTTTGTTTAACAGGTCAGAACTCACTTGAACAAAAATGTATTGTTTCTTGGGGAATATACGATTTGATTTCCTAATAGAAATCGACGTGAAATCCCTTCTGCAGGACAACCACCACGGAGATGGAAGCAATTATCCCTCATGTAGCAATGCAATGGACTTGTGACCAGTGGTAGAAATGGGCCAAAATGGACGTGAAAGCCCTGAAATGAGAGTGAAAATTTGAATCCATTCCGGAAGGAATCAAGGATTCATCTGTTTTATTTAGTTAATTTCCCTTCTCCCTAACTTTCCGCTCACGTAAAAGGTTTCCATACGCAAGTATGAACCTGTTCATCATTATTAATGAGGGGGGCTGGCCGACGTGGAGCGACGTCACGCGTGGGACAGACATTCTAGGCTCATTATAGTAGTAAATACCGTGTCACATGACCCATAAATACCGTGTCACATGACCCATAAATACCGTCTACATTTGGGTAGACTGGAAAACTTCTGAGCTCCTGTTGCTTTTGTTTCCGGTTTCATTTTAATTCTATCTTTCTTTATTTGAAAATGAATAACAACACTTCAGAGCAACGACGATTATTCTTTTGATGAAGATTTCAACAGGCATAGAAAATTTGTTTGATGGACATATATGGGCTCATGATCAGATTACAAATTAAATTAAGTGCCAAGCTAATTTCCCAAGCAGACACAACACCACCTGCATTCAACAACCATACCATGGTTATAACAGATGAGATAACGTTCATTGACAACATTGTAAAACACGTGACGCGTGCTAACTAAATGCCTCGACTTGGATCAAGGAAAGGCATCTAGGAAAACATTTGTTTGTGGACACGAAGCAAACGTTAAAATTAAAAATCATATTCATCGACCATGATCAATCGACTGCTGGGTGAAAGCCTCCCTCCGCCCAAAGCTGTCGCCATTACGTGTGGTTTGCAATGCAACAAATCCATCCTCCACCCAGCAGATTCACACAAGCTGTTTCAGAGCTCCGTCTCCATGGAGGATGTGACCTATTAAGGGTGCTCCCTCTTCCCCTTGCATGTAAGCTGGTGCGGCGGGGAGGGGAAGGGACAAACTAAACACAAAAAGCAGTTCTAAAGAAATTAGTTTGGCAGCCACTCCGTCATTATTCTCAACTACGAGCTTATCGCGTCTTCGAGCCAAAAGTCCTCCCGCCCAAGCCCACTAACTTTTCATGAGCAATCAATACTCTAATTTGCTTATGTTCTCGAAACCATGTGTCCCTCTCACTCTGTATCTCAGTGTAATTCCAAGAATACACCAAACGATGCCTCTTTGCACTATTTTCAGCTTTTGTTCATGTTCTTTGTCAATGTCCATGTGTCTGATCGATGTCATAGCAGGTAACATGCACTTATAAAAAAAGTTTACTCTTAAGGCATGACGATTTCATGAATACGTTCAGTTTTAAAAAACTTACTATTTGTTTGTCTATCATTTTTTTTTACAGTTGTCTCTCCAACAGATGAATTCAATTGATAAGCGAATTCGTTGTACATCACTATTGTCTCTCATATATTTATCCTGGACTTGCACTTTTGAAGTATTACTTTATATTTTTCTTCATTTATTTAAGATACCTTTGGTTTGACAATCAATTCTCTGTCAAATATCTTACAATGTCAACGTTAATACCTTTGGTAAAAGTGCATCTCCTTGTCCGAGTAGCCTTTTGGTACTATCATCATGCAACGTCTGTGTAGCGCGTACATTTTTGAATTTGGGTTTAATTATTTCTATATATTTTCTTCCATTTAAGGGCCCTTGGTATGCGAGAGCGTGAATTGCACTGCGACAATTTCCACCACATTAAACTGCTTTCCAGAGCGTACAAAGTTAAGACCATAGTATCGACACTCATTAATAATTTTCCAGAATCTGATTAATAGAACATATGTGGTGATCAATATTAGTAATCCCTTTCCTAAATCTAGTTTGCTCACGTGGTTGGTTGGCCTCTAAAGTACCCATTATTCTATTCCGATTGATCTTTGTGAACAATTTATGTGCTATAAAAAGCGAATGGGTCTCTAATTAATAAAGTCTAATTTACCACCATTTTTAATACCACAATGATGGAAGTAGAATTACGTGATTAAGGCATTTCATTTTTGCATAAACTTTTAATAAATAGATCTTGACTTAAAGCTTTCGTGACTGCAGGAATTAATATTCTTTTGGTCTTTCGGTAAAGTCACGTAGATAGGTGAACCTAAGAATTTTAATAAATAGGCCTGCTAATTGTATTCCAACAGTTCGTTCCACTTCTTTGATAATGTCCACAGCCAAACCATCTTACACAATGAATTTAACACGATTAATTCAACAAGTGAAGTGATCACAGGATAGCGATGGAAGTAGCACTTCAACATAGCCAAAGAAAAGACAAAGCTAATTATAGGTTAGATAACAAGATAGGTAACAATCGAGTCTACGTCAGGAGACAACCAATTTCTAAGCAACAGATCAAATGCATTTTACATAATGCAATAACTA